GGAATCGGCGGGGATGGGGGAGAAAGCTTACCTGCTGCTGCTTCCTCCTCCTCCTGCTCTGCGTGGAGCTCTCTCCCCTCCCCGTGAGTATTGTGGGTCCCCTTTCTTGTATACTATAGTTAGCTGAGTACTATACCTGAAGCGCCATTGCTATTGGAATCGGCGGGGATGGGGGAGAAAGCTTACCTGCTGCTGCTTCCTCCTCCTCCTGCTCTGCGTGGAGCTCTCTCCCCTCCCCGTGAGTATTGTGGGTCCCCTTTCTTGTATACTATAGTTAGCTGAGTACTATACCTGAAGCGCCATTGCTATGAATAGAGTTTACATCAAAGCAAAATTGCTCAGATAAGAATTTTGTTATCTAAGTTGATAACAAAAGAAATGTTTTCTTTTAAGAATCGTGTCAGCCATAATGAAATAGTGTTATGTATCATGGTATGGTACATGATCACATTCAGAGGAATGGAGTCCGGGCATTAAATACATCTCTTAGAAGCCCTGAATATATACTGACCCATCCAGTGACACGATGTCATGCTCTCTGCTTACACCAGGTCTGAAAAGTTGGGAATATCCTACTTTTAACAAGACTTGCTTCTGACTTTGCACCTGCAGACCTTTTAAAAAATATATTTATTTTTTTTTAAAGGGGGGAAACTTAAAATCCAGCAACTAAGAGGTGTTTTTTTAAGAATAGAAAAAAAGAAAAGAAGAACAAGATATATACATTTCTATAAATGATTTCCAAATACCTAAAAATAAGTCCATGCACAATTGCTGTCTCTATGCCATGTGTTCAAATGTAGATAGAGTTCTAAGGTCCTCAATCCACTAATTTACCAGAGGTGGGCTTTTATCTTTCCAATGGTGTAAGACTTTTAGCCAGTTTGGTGTAGTGGTTAAGTGTGCAGACTCTAATCTGGGAGAACCAGGTTTGATTCCCCACTCCTCCACTCACAGCTGCTGGATGACTTTGGGCAAGCCATAGTTCTGTCAGAAGTGTTCTTGAAAAGTGCAGTTTCTGTCAGACGCAATGAAGGATGGGGTATAAATCCAATCCAATCTCTTCTTTTCTTCTTCTTAGTTGTAGTAAGAGCATGGAGGGTCCATTTCCATTGACCATCAGTCAAGCGATGGGCAGATAGTTTTAAAGTACATAAAAATACTCAAAAAGCAATTAACATTCTAATACAAAGTTGATGTGAGTAATAACTTCTTCCCAGAAAAACTAAACAACTGGACATGCCCAAAGTGTATGTTTAATGGGCACATCCTGTAAATTACAACACTGAGAATTAGATGCTTTATCAATCTTTTGATAAAAAGTTGCTGTGGTGTCCAGTATATCCTATATATAATTTTTGCAGCATAAGTCTCAATTCAAGATCCATGGAGACAGTAGGTAAAAATTTTAGAAGAAGAGAAGAAGAAGAGATTGGATTTATACTCTGCTCTTCACTTGGAGTCTCAGAGCAGCTTACAAACTCCTTTCCCTTTCTCTTCCCACAACAGACACCCTGTGAGGTAAGTGAGGCTGAGAGAGCTCTTTCAAGAACTGCCCTTTCAAGGACAGCTCTTGTCAGAACTATGGCTTGCCCAAGGTCATCCAGCAGGTGCAAGTGGAGGAGTGGGGACTCAAACCCAGTTCTCCAAGATTAGAGCCCACACACTTAACCACTACACCAAAATGGCCGTGTCCCATTGCTTTGGCAAAATAGAGCAATCTAACTCCTTATTCCATTCATTTCTAAGAATGCATATCATATTTGTTCATTGACATTAAATATTTATAAACAAATATTGTAGGTTTTGTTTTCTGCCTTAATTTGATTAGAGTTTCCAGGAACGTACACTTAATGCCTCAGAGCCATATTTAGATACCAACAAATGCTGCAACTCTAAGTATTGCCTTTCTACAGGTGACAAATCATAGCTAGACCTCAGCTGAGAAAATGACAAAAACTCATCCTCAGTATCTGATCCAATGTAAGAATCCCCCTATCAGTCCGAGTCTTCCACAAAAAAGATTTCTTCGTGATTTTTAGATATGGATTGCCCTTAATGTTAATTTAGAATGTGAAAATGGATCAAACTGATAATCTCGTTCCATTATAAACCATTGTTTTTTAGTTGTAGAAACTGCAGAAGGAATGAGATCCACTCTAGCATAAGTAGACCCTAATGCGTTCCACTTAGAGAGGGGCACCAAATAAGAGGCCTCCAAAAGACCTCAAGATGGACAGTCCAATTACAAGGAGTGATCCCAATAATTAGTACAAATTATTAAGCATGCCAAATCCTGCTCCACTGAATGGAAGCTGCAGCCTCTTTAAAGAAACCTGAGGAGGTGAGGAACCCCACATAAATTTCTGAAATAAAATATTAATTTTATGAATATAGCTGCAAGGTAGATTGAAAGGAATTGCACATGAAATATAAATCATCCTAGGTATAATATTCATTTTGAGTGTGCTTTGAGTGTATTTACTTTGCCCCGTGCAGACAAGTTTAAAGTCGTCATCTGTCTAAATCCAGAGATATATCAGCAATTAGATTGTCAAAACTTAGCATAGTCATAGACTTTGCACCTGCAGACCTGCATTCTTTCTACCCCATCCCCAGCCTGTGGTATTATATCAGGGTCATGGTCTTTCTCTTTCATAAGCAAGTCACCTATAGCCTTTACCTTTAGTATGGCTTTCTAAGGAAATGAATGAAATAAGTAATGTACCCCTCCACAACTGTCATATTGGTGATGATGAGGCTGGGGTGACACTGGTCCACGCAACACAAGGAGGACAATTGTCCATGCAATATGGCAAGGATTCATCACTTCAGTTTGGCTTTTCTATTGCATTCATGCCAGCCATCTTTGGAAAGTCGTAGGTATTGAGGAGATGGTGCATACCTTAAGAGACTATTACAGGCTGTGTTCAGCCTCCTGCAGTAATATCACCCATTATCTTGCATACCATCAGAATAGGTTGCAGATACCATGTTTGTATCAGAACTGGGTTATCCCACTTAATTCCAGGGCATTACCTGCAGTGCCCCATTAGCAATATTTCACTTGGGTTTCATAGCCTCAGTATAGCTGTTCTTACCATACTTGTCAAAGAAATATCTTTAATATATGGAATTCATTTTTCAATCAATTGATTTTATTATGTCATTTATTCCTAGTGTTGCTGGATGCCGACCTGTGTGTAAAACATCCCAAGTGGTTGAAGAAAAGCAGCCAGAGCAGCAAGAGGAACGTCTCTTAGTTCACAAGAACAAGACCAAGAATGCAGCCGAAGGACAAATTGTTGCCAGCAGCACTTCAGAGAAACAACAGGAGCTCACAATATGCAAGAACCAGCCTTGCATGGAGAGATGCCATTTGCTTCGAAGTCGTGTCTCTCCAGCATTTCCCTGTGGCGCCAGTGCCTGTAACCGGGCAGGGGTGTCTTTCTCCTTTTCTAAAAAAGTCCATTTGAAGCTAGAGTCATCAGCATCTGTTTTCAGTGAGAACCTGGAAGAAGCATATGACTGCACGGGATCACCTAGGCACACAGTGAAACAGTCTCCTCAAGACTACCATACTTGCATACATGTGAGTGATGAGAGAAAACCAACCATACAAAAACGGTTACATCGAATTCAAGGTCACACAGACAGCCTACCCTCATGCAATCCAGCTGTGACGAGCAAAATGCTGAAAGAAAAGGATCATAATGCCAACATAGAGCATCTGGAAACCCATCTACATCCTCCAGATTTGGGTTGTTGCAGATCTCCTTATATAAAGAACCAAGGAAAAGAACTGAATGAGATGAGGAAATCTTCGGAAATGGTTGTTCCAGCTCAATACCAAACTAGCAACATTTGTATGCAGCAAAACACTTATAAGCACAGCGATGTCCTGTTATCAGAACATGTCTCTGAGTACTCAACACAATGCTCATTGGAGCAAGGACATTCATGTGAGGTAAACTACAATCCCTGTGTGTTCAAAGAGACTGGATCACCGGATTGTTTGAAAATGGTAACTGAGAACACTGGAGCACCTGGGGGTGATTCACTGGTTCATAAAATTAAGTCCAAAGCATTACCTTTTCTCCATGTTCTGAGTAAAGATGGTAGCACTGCCTTACGGTGGCCCACAGAACTTATTTTGTTTACAAAAACAGAACCTTCTGTTTCCTATGGTTGCAATCCATTGTATTTTGATTTTAGACTCTCCTTATCCCACAGGGATACTGGTCGTCATGATGTCAACCTAGAAAATTGTAATGAGCACTCAATAATGATGGACATAGATAGAAATGAAGCCTCAGGTCAAACCAAGAACAAGCAACTGTCCGATGAACAAGATAATCAGTCTTTGAAGCCAAAGAAGAAGACAAGAGCTCTAAGCCTCAGAAAGGCCCAGCCAAACTTGGATTCAGACACAGAGAATGAAATGAATCAAAGTGCTCCAAAGTATATTTCAGATGATTTGAATGATAGTATACCTAAAGTGCCTGATCACCTCGATTGCTCACAAAGGCATTACACAAGAGCAACAGGTCCCCAAACAGAAATGCATGTGAGATCTTTAGCACAGCACTTGCAGAACTGTGAACAAACTCTACAGGATGAAAAAATCTGCATTTATCCCTTGGTGTCTAGGATAAAGAGGCAAAAATGTGTACAATGTGATTTAATTTATTCCCAAAGACAAAGCAACCTGGATTTGGTCACATGCAGCAGTGATGTAAGTGACAGTGGAAAAGCCATTCTTGGTTACGAGTTTGGTTCCACTGGCAAGTGCTTGGAAAATGAAGAGAAAGGGGAATTTGCTGGATGCTGGAAATTCTCTTCTTTGCAAAAGTCCTCTTCTGACAGGCAGTCTAATTATTCCGACACCTCTCTTAGCAGTGCAACTAGTTTTGCTAGTTGCTACTCTAGTCACAGATCAAGTGATCACAGAAGAAGTCATTTGCCTTTTTGTTGCAAAAGGAAACAAAAGCCGGTTGAAAGGCTGAAATCTAAACACAAAAAGCACAATTGCATTTCATCTTCCGATGATGCAGATGAGGACTGCCTCTTCAACAATAAAAGTCAAAGACCTAGTAACTGTATGCAGAGGCATACAGTAAAATATCAAAGACATTCAAGATATAGGCATTTACTACATAGAGACATATCAAAGCAAATCCGAAACAGACATTCTTCCTGTAAACACAGCAGGTGTAGAAGCTACAGCAGCTCCAAAGGATCTTCCACCCGAGATTCAGGAAGCAGTGAAAGATCATTGAGTTGCTCCAGATCAAGAGGCAGCAGTTCAGGATCCCTTGCAAGAGAATCAATATGTGAATGGAACAAACACAAAAGGAATATGATCAACTATTATGGCTCTCAATCAGGAAAAGCAGATTCCGCACACTATGACTGCCACAATATCAGTTGCCCATCAAAGCATGCTGGCATTTGCTCTGTCAAACAATTAGGAAAAGAAGCAGTGAGACAGCAGAAGTCATTAACTGCCAAGTTACTTTTAGAAAAAGTGAAATCAAAGAAAATCCAGGAGCAAACTCAGAATGGTGAGAGCTTTTCAAATGTTTGTGGCATAGATCCCTGCCATAGTCAACCTGGCACTAAATGTATATCTTCAGTGGATAATGAAGGAATGTCACCTTTGCCTGAGAATGCCCTCTGCATTAATGCAACCACCGTGTGGAACAGTCAACCCAGCACAGTGGAAAGCAGTGCACATAAAGATCGAGTTGAAGCTTCAACAATAAATAATACGGCTCATACAGCTAGCACTAACTACAATAATTGCCTCCTTAAAGACTTAATTCAAAGAGGAACTGGGTATCAGGCCTCAAATATAGAAAAGGACACAGCAATAAATGAGCCGTCAGATCTCTTAAATGGTGAAATGCAACCCTTTCTACAAAGCTGTGACCCAGTACCAAATTATTTTCCTGGTGCTTTTCCTTCTAATAGATATTCTGTTGTTCCAAATCCAACAGAGACCAAAGAAGAACACAATGCAAGCTTGAACTCGATGCAAGTGGAAGGGGATTTAAGCTCTTACTCTGACAGTGCTATGCATAAAGACAATGAAACAGAAAACAAGACTGAATTGTACAGCAAGTGCATCTCTTCTCCCTTAACTCAGCAGCCTATAACATTTTCCCCTGATGAGATAGACAAATACAGGTTTCTTCAGCTGCAGGCCCAGCAGCATATGCAGAAACAACTTGTGGCAAAACATCTTAAGGTTTTGTCTGCCACCGGACCAGCTGCCTTCTCTGCACCCCCATCAGTTCAGTCAGTTCCTGTTCCACCGCACGCCTCTGTTGCCACCCTCCACCATACCTTTTTGCAAAGCTTTGCTCTCTCAGCTGCAGTACATCCCCACAGCAGCCATCTTTCCCTGACTCATATACATCCCTTCCCGCAGTCTCACTTTGCCCCAATATCTCTGTCGCCTTTCACTCCAACCTTCATACCTGCACACTCAGCCCTCCTGACAGGCCACCCACTCCATTTGGTCTCTGCCACTCCCATTCACCCTTCTCACCTGGCAGTCTCCTCACTGCCCCATCCGACATTCATTCCTACCTTGTTCACCCCGCAGCTCAGTGGAACTGTATCTTCTGCAATACATCTCAATCCTTTCATTCATCCATTGTTCCAGGGGCAAGAATTTCAGCATCGTTCTTGACCTTGCAAGATGCGTTTGCTCTTGGAAATGAAGGGGGGGAGCAGATGTGATTTTTTAAAAAAATTCTTTAAAATAGCTAAGTTATCATCTGACACTCCAAGAGGAGTTTAGAAGTGAAAATACCCCCTAAAAATCCAATTGTATATCTTAAGAGAAGTTGTGGCATTTACTTAGAGCACATCAAGGACACTGAGGGAACTCAAGGTTGGCTGACACAGCATTTTGAATGTTAACTTGATTATCAGACAATGACTGGACATTCAATTAACATGATCCAGAGTCCATTTGTGATAACTTAAATTAAGGTTCAGTATGGTTCCTTACTTTGTGGTAAGACTTATATTGGTTTTCATCTTTACTTTGAAAAGACTAAGTGGAAAGATAATTCCTGTGGCCCGCTAAATAGAGGCAGGATAGAACTATCAGCACTGGATCCTGGCTCAAGCTACTCTAGTGCTAATGGTAAAATTCTGCTTTCTTCCTTGTCTGGGAATATTCATAGGCACTCCGGCAGGACAACCAACTATTTCCTAAAGGCAAATCCTTTGGCAAACTCATCAAACCTTTACACAAGTATATGAATGTCAATAGCCTGATAAACTTGGGGGAAGGGGTGGACAGACAAGTTTTTGTACTTCTCTTGATTGTATAATTTGATTTCTAACATTATATTACACCATAAGTGATCACATCTGATTTCTGCCTCAAGTCTCCAACTGATATTAAAAAGAAATGTGAAGAGGATTATTATGGTTTGGGTTTATGAGAACTCTACCGCTATCACTGAAAGTACACTGAAATATAGCAAATACAAACCACAAGATCTGTGAACCCAATATACCTGCATCTCATTTATGTTTAGACTGTGACATTTAGTATATTTACTTGAAAGTCATTTCTATTGAAATCATTTAAACTGATTTCCAAGTACAATGATTTGGGTCTGGGTGCTAATACTAAAATACATGTTGACCATACTGTATGATAATTATAGATCTCAATAAGTGAAATGTAGAGTGGATTTACTATTAACTTTTTTTTAATTCATTCACAAAATGTTCGCGGTCACTGTCTTGTGAGACCCTGAGTTGGCTATGCCTTAGAAGGTTCTGACATGCCTTTAGCTTTGGCAGACCAACTTGTGTTCCACGAGCCTCCAAAATCGGGTCTCCCAAGTGTATTTCTGACCCTTTGTAAGATATCGCTTCATGTCAGTCTCACCACAGGGTGGTTAGAAACATCCATTTTGTGGTGGGAGAGAAGTGATCATCAGGTGAGCCCATCCCAGCCAACGGTAAACGTTTCCCCATTAAGCATTGCTGTAAAATGCTAACCACATCTCTTTGTTATACAGTTTTGCAAAAATATTTTAAAATGCCACTGGATTCATTTTTCAAAGCATTTTTCTTTATATTGAAACTGAATAATACTCTGGCAAGTATAATCTGTAAACTAGGTATTTTGTTTTGTATTCTATGTAAAAAGTGTTTTATATTATACAGTAGATAAGTGAAATTGCACTATTGAACATGCAATGCAGCTTTTTTTTAAGGTAATAAAAGTTGTTCCTGGGAATGTAGTTTCATGCAATAATTTCTTTTCCAATAAAAAGACTTCATGGCAGAAAGAGTGTCAGTCATGCATTTTTGACTATAATACCAAAAGGCAAATGACAAAGTCAAGTGCAAATGGGGGCAAACATTGTCTGTATTTTAACCCACAAATCTGAAATGCATTAGATTTCTCCAAAAAGCTGTAACAACTCATTTTTAGGCTATGTCTTTTTTTAAAAAAATAGCATGTGTCAGTAGAGTTGTTTAAATGGCTCTATAAATAAATATTCCTTCTAAAAACCATCCCTGATGTGTTCTTTATAAGCATGTTAATGGACAATGGATTGTGGGGGTTTTCAAGCATTTTAACAAAAGGCGGTTTAAAATAATCTGTATACATGATTTTGCCAGATTTCTCAGTATTTTCCCTTTAAAGTTTTTGAATAGCTCTGTGTGAAAGAAACTCATTAGAAAAAAATCAGTGCACAGAAACACTGCATTATCATGCTTTAAATCCCTGTCTATGGAAAATTAAAGGTTACAAAACTTTCAGACAGGAACTATAAACAGCTGACATGTTGAGAAGACCAGGCCTCTCTCCATTCCCTTTTGTTCCTGCAGAGGGATCTCTTTGTAGTGGAGGCACAACCTGGCCTCTGTTTGAGTAGCCCAGCTTTGATCAAATCAAGCCTGAACTCTCCCTAGAAGCTAAAATGATCATACTGAAACTATCATACTTTGGTCACATTCTGAAAAGAGAAGAGTCACTGGAAAAGACAACAATGCTAAGAAAAGAGGAAGACCCAACATGAGATGGATGGACTCGATCTAGGAAGCCACAGCCCACAGTTTGCAAAACTTGAATGAGGCTGTTAACGATAGGACATTTTGGAGGTCCTGAATTCATAGGGTTGCCATAAGTTAAAAAAATGACCCGATGACACAACAAAAAGAATGGAAGTAAATGTTTGCAGATTCTGAATTCAGATGGAAAATTGTGGCAGGTTTTCCTGAACCACGGGAGAAAGGACAGGTGGGACAAAGCAACAAAGAAAGGGGCACTTCTCTGATGGCCCTCCCCCCTATCTCCTTCTTGGTGCTTCCAGTGGCTTATTCCTTTAATACAGATGAGATGCCAAAACCAGAGAGATACAGTTCTATTTCTGTATATCAGCAGTGCCTTATCTTGTTCTACCATCCCGTTTAGCAGAGCACATACTTTATAGTATTAATTATGCTGTATGCTATGACATGCTGAGTTGCCAGCTAATATCTCTGGGAAAATTCTCACTGATACTAAATATCATGGAATTCTTTAAAAAAGCCAGTGTCGTGGCTGGCATCAGCACCATGTTGGACATTTCCTGTGCCAGATATTATCAATGTAGGACGTCTAGTAATTTGCCACCTCTTTGCCCTACCATCTCCCCCCCAAAATGCCACAAACAATAAATAGGCTCAGCTGAGATTTATTTATTAAACTGACCCAAGCCTTATTAATACTCAGCCCTCAGGTAAGCAATCCACCTACTAGATTGCCAGAGACATCCTAGAGTTAATAGGCAAGCCCACCCTGGTTTTGAGTGTGAGGCAGCCCTAATCCTCCAATTGCTTTTCCTAGCCTTCATACCAAGGTATGCTGAGAGGAACTATTTCTCCACCACTGCCCCGCCAACTAGTGAAGCCATAGACCGGGGGGGGGGGTCTCACCAACTCCCTTGACTAGTAAGCCTTGAGAAACTGGTTTGGGATGCCTCCCCCATCATCAGATGCCTCAGGGTGCTTGCCATAGGCCTCTAACTTAAAAGCCCACACTATTCCAGTCATCCCCAGTAGAGCCTAACCAGTCTTAACCAGGCCCAGTTAGAATAACCCCAACCTGAAAAAGTGGCAAAGTGAAACAAGTGAAAAGTTTATCTCAGCCAATCTGAAAGATTTCCTCCCCCCCAAAAAAACCCTTGCATGCACAAGAAATCAATACTTCATTCTCCTATGCTACTGAACTTTCAGAGCAAATAAATTTCCCATTTGCAACCTAATAAACGATACGTATTTATCAATTTTATGCATAAAAATGGTTCTATATAGCATATATGCAAACCAATGGTCTTCATAAAGAAATAATGATGAACATATCAAATCATTAAATGCCCACCAAGTGTACTACATACATATAAAATGAACTATGTGCCAAAGTTATTAAATCATTCATTGGAATATTGCTGCTTTCTGTCTGATCCTATGCAAAAGTTAGATGCATCAGGGCCCACTGAAATGGATAAGCTTCAGTATGTCTAACCATGCACAGGAATAAGATTGGTGTTTTTCATTGTGAAAGCCACAGGAGAGCCAGCTGGTAGGTGAAAATGTGAAGAATTTAATTAAAGGGCACTGAGCTTTCATTTTGCTAGCTAGAATGAGCCCACTGGATCTGATCTTCCTAACCTTGCCATTTCAGTGGAAAAGCCCATCCATCCCCCAGTATCTGGATCAAAAACAGCATAAGAAGATATTTACACATGGTATTATCCACTGGTACCTATGATTTCCGTAACTGGTTTAGCAGAAGAAACAAATTGCCAGAAGAAAATGTAGCATAAAATAGAATATTGCTGTTGTTGAAATGTATGAGTTTCAGAAAGAGAACAGATGTAAAGAATACCACTCTTACGACAGGTGAGTTAGTGTGGATTTAGATGGCTGTTGTTGTTTTTCATACCCACCAAAGAGTGAGATGACTGGATTTCCTACTGCAATGATCTGGAATCTTAGTGTGACCTGTTTAAGCAAGCTTGTTATGCAGAAGACAGGGCCGCTGGAGTCCCTCCAGTGTTGAACCTCTTTTTAGAAAACTTGGATTCCATGTGGATGTCTAATGGTTGATGGAAGGGGCCGGTGTTCTTCTAAATGCAATTACAGGTGTCACTTTTTATCACTTGCATTGTATGAGGTTTGTCATGGAAGAATGTATAGCTTCTAGAAACACTGACTGTCTAAACAGAATTATTCATGGGGGGAAACCAAATTTTCTGATATGCTTTCCTCTTCCTTCTCTACTTTCCCTTTTGATATATGACTAGGCATGACAGAATTGCCAAAATGTGACTGTCACATCTGGCTGCTTGTCTCATTGCTTTGAATCATGTTCCTATCCGGCTGCTCAAAAGGAACAGAAGTTATTGGTGTATCAGTATACTGGTATATTAACTAAGGAATAAGCCACAAGAAACAAATGTCGGGGAATCGGTTCCAGCTCCATTTACACATCCAAGGGACTCAGTTACACAAGCTACACACAGGGCATGCAGAGTTCACAATTAAAGCACAGTTCATGCTAACAGTTAGGCTTTCCGGGACAAAGGGAAATGTGCCCTTTTTGACTTTGTAAAATGCATGCAAGTATATAGCACATTGTAATCTTCCTTTTCCTAACCAGTTGCACTTAGT